CGTCGACATTGGGCTCGATGGCCAATTAGTGCTTACTGAACCGTAGCACTATGCAAATGTGATGGGGCGTGATTCCCGGCCAACCAATTAGCGATCACCAGCTGTAACGTTGTTCGCACCTAATTGGCCCAATTCAACTTCTGTAGTGTTTCACATCATTCAGTTGGTGTTAATTTGAAATAAGTGTCCGTCAATTAATCATTGATTTAACAAATATATTTATATTTATTTTAATTTTAGAAGCATTTAACTTTCCAGAAATTTTTGTCAAGTGAAAAAAAAATATCGGTAATGTATTATATACATTTAAATAAATATGTTTCTTTGCGTGTATGTTTACTCTGTCATATTAAATTAATTTTAACACATATTTTATTATATTGTTTTTTAATTGACTTTTTTTTAGCCCATAATAAAATGTGTGGAACAAACAAAAAAATAACTTGTCAATATTCAGAGGAATATTTAAAATTTGGGTTCATACCCGCTGTTCACGATGAGCGGATGCTGTTTTGTTTTTTATGCCAGCAATGCTTGACCAACGAATCAATAAAATGAGGTCGTCTTGAGGTGCTTTTGAAGACAAAACATAGTGTTCATATAAATTCAGATTTGAGTTACTTTAAAACTTAACAGAAAAAGTTTGAAAAAAGAACAACATTACAGTCTCTATTTACTGCTCGTTCTTTAACAAATAATCGTCTTTCTGAGGCTAGTTATCAAATTTCTTTATTAATCGCTAAAACTAGAAAAAAATCACACTATACGAGAGAATTTGATAAAACCGTCAATATCAGCATTTCTTAAAACAATTCTAGAAAAAGATGACAAAGATGTAAAAGCTATGCCACTCAGTAACAATACTGTTAGCAGAAGAATAGATGAAATGAGTGAAGATATTGAGAAACAACTTGTTGAAAAGCTGAAAACAAGAAATTTCTCAGTACAAATGGATGAATCAACTTTGATAGACAGTGAGGCAGTATTGATAACCTATGTAAGATATATTGATGAAGGGCATTTTGCTGAAGAAATGTTGTTCTGTAAAAGATTAGAAAGCACCACTACCTCCAAAGATATATATAATAAGTTAAAAAACTACTTAGATGTCAATGATATACCAATGAAAAATATAACATCTTGTGTTGCAGATGGCACCACTAATATGATAGGCAAGAAAAATGGTTGCTTAAAATTGATGAAAGATGCGAATCCAGAAATGGTTGGTTGGTTAATTTTTATTGGAAAAAAACCATGCAGGCTATACTGCGCCACGACAGATGGTATGATTGGGCGTATAAGATAAATAGGAAAACACATATGTACACATAAACAATACATAATAGTTTAACCATTAAAAAAAAAGCCAATGGTAATATAAATGTAAAATCTAAAATATAATAAATAAATAAATAAACAACAATAAGTAAATACAATGATTTAAATATGCAACACAAAGTAAATAAAACTATACAATAAATATATCATCATATTTCTCTATACACATTAATGACTTTCAGAAAGTCCAATATATTATCCAAATTTGGCCTCTGGCCCAAAATGTCTCTAAACCTTGCATTTCCGAAATGCTGTCTACTTATCTGATAAAAAGCAACACATTTGCAAAATATATGTTTAACACTTACAGCACAGTTGCAGTACTGACATACTGGTTTGTCATCTCCCTTCAAAAGGTATTGATGAATCAGTCGAGTGTGTCCAATTCTCAAACAAGTAATAACAACCTCTGATCTCCTATCATACTGCCTATTATGTGTCCAATTTTCTACTAAAGGTTTCATCTCATATAGTTTATTGTGGTTTTGTGCGTTCCACATATTTTGCCATCTCTCTGCTAGTTGTTTTTTAATGACTAGCTTCAAATCACCTCCTTCAATACGCATCGTATGCCGTGGATAACTTACTGACTTTGCAGCTGTGTCAGCTTCTTTGTTTCCTCTTATACCTACATGGCCTAGGACCCAACAAAATTTTACAAAGAAACTCCTTGCAAAAAGATAGCAAAGCAGTTTACGAATTTTAGTCACTATGGAGTGAGAACTAGGTTCACATGAGATCAAAGTC